ACTTGTGTACGGTAACGAGGACCATATTCTTGGAACAATTGGCTTGTTCATGTGGCTTGTGGCCAAAGTTGTTGCAGCCATCCCCAGTCTCCCGGAATGGTTGGGATAACTTCGAAAACTCTCGGTAGCAGACCTTCTAACGTCCTGAAAATGTGCCAAAAAAATTCGATGGTGTCGGAGAGTGAAATTTAGATATATATTTGTAGCTTTAATAATTGTATGTGCAACATTGAGTGAAAATTTTATTACCATTAAATCACATTAAATAATTTTCGGTTATCTCTTCTGAATGACTTCAGTATATAAGGGCTGATACATCTTAGGGCCAGGATAGTTACTATTAAATTTCGTGGGAATTCGTATCATACTAGAGAACGACTTACCTGATCGGCTTTAAATTTTCACAACTATTGTGGTTTCTTCCAGTTTAACTGAATAAGTAGTCACGTTCTTTATTCACTAATTAATAAATACTTATCTTCAAAATATTATTGACGATACATTTTATAATAAAGATGATAATCCATAAGTTTAATCAGAGTTGGTGCAAATTTTCAATTTATATTGAAATATTTAATGTTCTAATCCCAAAAGTATCTGACACCTTTCGACGTGTAAAAGAAACTGGGTCATACCATGAATTAATGAAAGATCCTTGACTTAACCTTACGAAAGTAGACAAAGCGAATGTGAAAGTAATAATGGACAAGGTAAATTATACCGGAAAAATGAACATGTTATCAGAAGACAGGGGAACTTAAGCGCCCTTTAATAAGAATGTATTCGACCAGGTTAATAGCAGGTCTAATGAACAACTTAAAACTTTACTGAGAGGAATTGATGAATTGATTAAACAGTTAACAGTTAGGTCGGCGACACACACATGTACGGTTTGATTAAAACCAATAAACCTATATTTGCATCGAGATTTATTATTAGCTCGGTGGGGCTGGCGACATGTCCTGTCAGGATGGTTGGTAAATGTATTAACTTAATTGCTGGGCAACATCTCTGAAGCCAATGTAAGAAACAGTTTTGACCTCATTGACAAATTGCAGAATGTGAAAAGGTCCAATGATGTTTACACTAGTAAGTTTTGATGTTCCGTCTCCCACTGAGGCAAGGTGACTCGAAAAAGAAACGCTTTCACCATCATTCACACAATCACTGTCTTGTCAGAGGCGCGTAGACACGACAGTTTAGATGTCCCTTTAGAGTGCAGACGCTGTTCTTCCCACCTACAGGACTCACGTCTGGCTGACCGGTTCCTCTGAATCCCTTCACAAAATATTAACCGTCTCACACCCCATATATATTGTTAAACAGACGGCGTTACTAGATTATAGTTGCAGAATCTAACGCTAGGTGGTGTCATTTTCTATGTAAAGAACAAACTCAACACAAGAGACGGCAAGTCTGTTGATTATTAATCTTACCTTGACTTTAATGGCATTCTTCGGTGTGTGTACGTATGTGTGTGTGTGTGTGTGTGTATGTGCGTGTGTGTGCGCGCGCGCGCGTGTGTGTGTGTGTGTGTGTGTGTGTGTGTGTGTGTGTGTGTGTGTGTGTGTGTGTGTGTGTGTGTGTGTGTGTGTGTGTGTGACAGGGAGAGAGAGAGAGAGAGAGAGCCAGCCAGCCACATCTTCAATCTCTTGCAGTATCGATCCGCTGATCAATGGAAGTTTCCAAAGGAACCTTGACAAATTTCTTACATATCACTCATCTATTGAGCTGTTTTTTGTATAGTTTTCTTTGTTTTACTGTGGCAAACAAAAATCTTGATCCACTGCGACAGTGCCCGTCTTACAATTATAAGATACAGGTACAGAACGAGCGTTTATGATGTACAGCTTTAGAACCACTGACTGTATGAAGCTCTATGAAGAAAGGTACACTGAAACAATACAAGCTGACTCAGTACCTGTGTATTTTCTTTACTCTCGGTCTTGCACCTTTGTATCCTGACCCTTGATGTTGCGCAGCTGTGTTTAACAACCCAGTTTCTTAATCATCTATATAATTACCTCGTGCTATGTGCTGCTTTATTTTCGTGTATTGTTCCAGATTTTTAACGAATCACGTATATCTCAGGCACTACACCTGAGTTATGAGGTAGACAAAAAAGAAGCCAGAGAACTGTAGTCGGCAGACAACTGCATCGCTAGAAAAACAAAAAGAATAAGACTGAGCCAATCGGAGACTTTTTCCCTTGTAAGAACATAAGAACATAAGAAAGAAGGAGCACTGCAACAGGCCTACTGATCCATGCGGAGCAGGTCCATGCCCCCCTGATTAGACCAATGATCCCACCCCCCAGATTAGCCCAATGACCCATCCAGTCTGGTCATCTCCACTCAAGGATGGAGCACTGTACCAGACCCAGCAGCACAAGCTAGTCAGGTCCAACTCACACCCACCCACACCCACTCATGTATTTATCTAACCTATTTTTAAAACTACACAACGTTTCAGCCTCAATAACTGTACTTGGGAGTCTGTTCCACTCATCCACAACTCTATTACCAAACAAGTGCTTTCCTATATCTTTCCTGAATATCGCTAGTATTTTCCTGGGTGAAAACTGAGAGGAAGTAGGTATTTAGAATTTCACACATATCCTTATCACTGTCAGTGATCTGACCAGAGTTACTCTTAAGTGGGCCAATCTTGTCCCTAATCTTACTTCTGTATACCTGAAAGAACCCTTTGAATCCCTTGCGACCTTAGCCTCATAATCCCTTTTTGCTTTTCTTATTTCTTTATTTCTCTCTTTAATTGAATATATTGATTTCTTAACTGCCCATCCCCTCTTTTGATACGCCTATATATGCCTCTCTTTTGACCAATGAGATGTTTTAATCTATTGTTCATCCATTTGGGATCATTTTTGTTAGATCTAATTTCCCTGCTCGGAACAAAAGTTGTCTGGGCAGCTAGAACTATGCTCTGAAAAACGTCATATTGGCAACCAAGATCACCTACCTGACCCATAGTCAGGACATCCCAATTTAGCCCACCCAGGTAATTTTTCAGTCCCATGAAGTCGGCCAAGCGAAAATCTGGGACAGAGATTTGATTGCAGTTATCTGGGTAATTCCATGATACATTGAAACTAAGTGATTTGTGATCACTTTCCCCAAGCTCATCATTAACCTCAAGATTATTAATTAGTGAATCTTTGTTGGCAAGAACCAAGTCAAGCAGACTGTTTCCTCTAGTTGGTTCTGTCACAACCTGTTCTAAAAAGCAATCCTGAACCGTATCAAGAAAGTCACTAGACTCAAGATTTCCTGTCATATTGTTCCAATCAATTTGTCTAAAGTTAAAATCTCCCATTATCACAACATTTTCATATCTAGATGCCTTATGAATTTTCGTCCCATAACAGCTTACTGCCCTCCCTAATCAAGGTTTGGGGCCTATAAATCACACCCAAAATTAATTTGTCACGTCCCTCGAGAAACTGTAGCCAAACAGATTCTATGTTCGATGTTTCTAATCTTATATCATGTCTAAGACAACAATTTAAATTTTCTCTGACATACATCGCCACACCACCACCCTTCCTGTTGACCCTATCAGTGTGGAATAGTTTATAACCCTGTATGTTGCATTCAGAAGGCATTTCTCTATCTTTCAAATTGAACCAGGTCTCTGTTATACCAATAATATCTATATTACCTACACTTGCAAGTAATCTTAGCTCATCTATCTTATTTCTTAGACTCCTACTATTTGTATAGTGAACCTTAAGGGAGCTAGTCACTCGTTGCCCTCTACTATCTTTGTTTGTTTATTGATCAATTGATTTGCCATTACTAGCAACTTTATTTTGAATATTGTATTTTAAACACATCCCTGAGGTATCCCGGTAATAACTGCTGTTTTTAACCCTAATGCTGCAGCCTGATTGTTTCCCACAAACACCCATACCTCTATAATCTATCAGTTTAAATTCCTAGACAAGTCATCAGTTACCCTCTCAATTGAACTGGCTAATGCAACCACTCCATCCCCAGAGAGATGAACCCCATCCCTTGCATACATATCACGTTTGCCAAAGAATAGATCCCAGTTATCAATGAATGGGATTGCAAGTTCCTTGCAGTACCTGTCTAGCCAGCAATTTATACCAATTGCCCTAGACATTCATTCATTGCCCACTCCCTTTCTAGGCAAGATGCTACATATGACTGGGATCCCTCCCTTAGACCTAACCACTTCTATGGCTGACCTGTACTTATCCAGCAGCTCCTCTCTCCTGCCCTTCCCAATGTCATTACCCCCAGCACTAAGACAGATAATGGGCTTGTTCCCATTACCTGCCATAATATTATCCAACCTGCTGACTGTGTCACCAACACCAGCTCCAGGAAGACACACTCTCTGTCTGACTTTTCTGTCTCTGTTACAAAATGCACGGTCCATATATCTTACCTGAGAATCGCCTACTATTAAAATATTCTTACCTTGATTAGCAGGGGAATTCAACCTCACTAACCACTGAAGTACACTCGTCTTGGAGAACAGAGAATCGATTTCCTACCTTCACATCTTCTCTGTTAACTCTCCTCATCTTCCTTCTTCCTGAACTGTGAACCACTTGCCACTTAAAGCGGCTGCCACTCTCACTGCTGGTGACCATTCCTTCCTTACCGGCTATATCCTTCTCACACTCACTCCCAAACATACAAGAGATATTTCAATATAACAAAATATTATGACTTTAACACTCGTGTATGTTATGCTTTTATTTACATTTGCAAAAATAAGTAAGATGTTGTATCCTCAGTTTTTGTGTATTACTCATTTCACATCTTTGTGTCTCTCCGATTGAAGATGTGATTCTTCCACATACTACAGTCTTCTGACCTTATTAATCGCCTGATGTTCTATAGACGTCCAGGTGAAAAAATTGGCTGATGTCAGTGGTACATTAGATCTGAGGGCTTCAGTCACTGATATCCTGGTGCAATCGTTAACAGCCTGGTATTTCACAGGAAGAAGTGGATCCAGGAGTACAGGATGAGGATGGTAACTCGGCTCTGATGTACGCTGCCGCCTTCGGACATAGGGAAATTGTCCTGCTCATCCTCGCTGCTTTCAAACAACTCCATCACGTCGCTTTCCAGGGTGAGCAATTGATTATATATATATATATATATATATATATATATATATATATATATATATATATTATATATATATATATATATATATATATATATAATGAAAAATGCACCAAGCTTCCCACATACCACAGAAAATACTCGCCTGAAATAATATTTAAAATCAATGTTACAGGTTAGGTAAGGCATATCAACATTTGAAGCATTACAGAAAATACATTGGCTATTCTGTGAGCCAGGAACTTGAATGAGGCAGAAAGGATGTAAATAAATTTTTTAACCTTTGTGTTCGCACACTATATTACACATACTCATACACACAATTCAATGATTAATACCCATATAACACCGAGGGACATTAAGAATATTTTGATAACATCACAGAAAAAGAAAAATGAACGAGATAAGAGGATAATGCAGCGGAATTTGTAACAATTCATAGAATTACAAGATACGATTGATTAGGATCACATAGTTGAATCTAATGCTAACATACTGGTGCGGGAACTGATGATAAAAATCAAACTTAACTTGGGCCGCTATGCACACACCAGTACTTCTCATGTCAGCACCTTCATGACCCTCTGTGACCTATCACTGAATGTCAATACGTTTACAGGTCAGCGCAACGGTCAGGGACTGACTGCTTGGCAGCTAGCGGAAAAGAACGGTCACCAAGACATTGCAGCTCTTCTGAAGGTCGAGTCTGGTGTCTTCCCGAGACCCTCAGGACCTTCAGCCTTCGTACCCACCCACCCACTCGACCTAGACCGCCCACCCACACCCACTGAGACCAAGAGGGAAAGGTAAATTTGTCCCTGTGCACACACTGGCCCAGGGCCTCCCAGAGGTCAAGACAGACCTATACCACTCGCATTTTTCAGGCCTCTGGAATATCAACATTTCAAGAATTGCCGGTGTCGATTTTTCTTTACACTAACCTAATTAACATGTCAAACAAATAAAAAAAATAAGAAATGTTATTATTTAACAATCACTGTTCTAGTCTTTTTTATGTAAATGCAGATTTTGTGTAGAATTTAGCTTCTTCAGATATCAGAGTCTGTGTTAAGATAATCTGTGTTAAAGCTTCTAATAACTGAATTATTCCATTGTTCTAGAATCTAGTTCAAATGGCACAGAAAATATCCCTTTGAGGAGAATTACTTTGTCATATAAATCTGTTAATATTTCTTTAAAATTATTCTGCTGAAGCCGGTGAGGGACTCTTGATCCAAGGAACTGGACTTTGTCTCCCCTTCTTTGAATCGAACCTGAATGCCTTCTATTTCCCAGGAGCAGTATTGCCCCGAAGGCCTATATGTTCCCGAAGGACCATATGACCCTGAAGGGGTATATGATCCCGAAGGGGTCATGTGGCATGGTCCCTGATTAAAATAATAAAAAAAGGTGATTTACGTAAATTTTCCTCACTCGGGCTCTAATACGCCACAGTCTACTGGATCATTGAAATTTAAGCGATAAAGACATTAGCACAAATTCAAATTTGGACATGTATTACGGGAAAGCGCTGCGTTCAGTTCGATCCACTGCAGTGAATTTTCGGGATTCCAGTTCACTGTATCGGTGTTCTGCCTAATTCCCCCCGATGCCCTCAACTTACCAACATTCCTGTCCGAGGCCCCAGACACAATTTAAATATTAAAATAATAATGAAGATACTTCCCTGGGAACTGTAGTGTAAATACAGCTTGGATTCCAGTGAACTCATTAATGATGTCACTGATTATTCACGGAGTGGGATGAATTCTGATCATATATTAGTTAAGCGAGTTCAGTGTCTTACATATTCATCCCTTTCGTCTTTGAGACGTTACGCGATAAAGTTATATTAATTAGAGTTCGAGGAATGTTATTTATCGAGTACTTAACCCAAAGTTTAGAGTAATTAACATTATAAAGCTGGAAGGAACACAGGTTGAGGGTCCAATGTTTGTATAATGACTGACGTTCAGAGCATCGTGGAGCATCCATGCCAGGAAAGTAACTCCTTTAAGAGTCCATAGTCTTGCTTATATTAATATCTTACATCTGATATATGTAAAATATAATTCTTTCATGAAAATTACGAGATATAACTGTTTCGTCTGTATTTTAAGGTAAAAAGATTAATTAATTTCTGAGGGATATGTTTTCTCTGGTTGTCATAGTGACAACCACAGAAGCTGTTAGACCTTTAAAAATGTCACTAAGGTCACCTTCTCGCCAGTAACATAATTCTGAGAATATGTTCCTACACGTAATAGCATTAATATGCAAATTTACAGTTCTCATTAAGTTTAAACAGTTGATGATTCTTATTCATCTCTAACATGGGAGGTAGATCTTATGATTTAACGACCGTAAGTAAAGAACATTTACCATATTTTCCACACCCGAATTGTTGTACGGCCCATATAGATTTAACTCTTCCCGTTCGAAATAAAAAATCAAGTATTTGAGCTTTGTGTCCCCATGTGTAGTTACAAAAAATAATACCAAATTCTGTTCACTTTTTCCATATTGTAACTCAAGGTTACAATATGAAAGCAGTAACTAATTTAAAATATATTTCTGGGAAAGGAAACATGTTAAATACTATAGTGGTTTGCAGTCTAGTTTAATGAGGCTTTATTTTTACCCCACAAATTCAACGCGAAAGTGATCAAGCTATATATATTTTTAACGTTAGAGAAAATAATGTCTAATCAGGCACCATTATAGTTTACGAAATAAAAAAATGAACATATAACAGCACCATGACCGTAATTCCTTCATCTGTTACAAGAGCTTCATATATACTTTATAATTAAGTAAGAGTGATCAGATTGTAACCTTGTTATAGGTAATTCTTTCTTATCTTACTTTGGTAACATGATGCACTCCTCCGCAGGCAAAGACAATGCAAAATATATAATGTGTTACTGGACTGACTTAGACATACCGTAGACTACATGCACATTATTTCAATATATTTAAGAATATTTTCATCATAAATATTGTTGTGATTACTAAGCGATTGTATTTTTCACAGGTCGTCAGTTCGTCATTCCAAGACTCTGGGGAGAGCCACAGTACCTGAGACAGGTCCAGGTCCCACAGATCCCCTGCCGCCTCCTTCCTTCATTACCTACTGCAGCGATTGCAACAAAATTGTTCCCCCGAGTAAACCACGCACAAGCAGAGTTGACGGCGATGTCTCCTTGAAGAGAGAGAAAGGAAGGAGGTTCTGTGTTTGTAGTGACGATCAGGATTCCGAGGAAGATAGCAGCACTTCGGAAGGACACGAAGCTAGCGATATCAGAGACTACCAGAGTATCAGGACGCTATCGTTGGAAGCAAGTGATAATCCAAATTCGAAGGGTGTAATAGGTCTCATTACTGGTCCCAAGAGCAAAGGGGCAGCCCGGCACCATAGCAGTCATAACGTTAAAGGTGCAATACTGCTGAGCAGTAGTCTTGCCAACAAGGGGCACAACAGCAGTCATAATATCAGAGGTGCGATATTATTGAGTAGTGGTCTTGCCAGCAAAGGTGAGACAGGGTTAAGTGGTGGAAGCACAAATAAAAGTGAGACACTAGTGAGCAGTAGCCTCGTCAGTAAGGGTGCTACACGCCTGAACAGTAGCCTCACTAGCAAGGGTGCAACAGTACTGAACAGTACCCATACAGGTATTGTTAAAGGCACTACAAGAACCACTGGTGTTATCCCACTAGAAGACGACACCGACTCTCTGTCGAAGGGTGTCACAGACGAAGACAGCGATAGTTCCACCAAAAACTTGAAAGTCGACCGAATCGGCTTCAGGAGCATCCCCAACTGGACGAAGGACATCGGTAACGGGGAGAAAAGCAGATCTGACAAAGGGGCAGAGGCGGGACAAGAGACAACTTGGGGCAAAAGGCCCCAGCTGAGGAGTGAGCCAGTGAGAGTAGCAGCCCCGGACGCCGAGGAGAGGCGGCTGTTGGAGGAACTTATGCAAGGTCTCTCTGTCTCCGGCAGCCCGGGTTCAGGTGAGACACCTCCCTCCTACCCTCTACTGGCTCTCTCACGCCCCAGAGTAAGGAACACACTCCCTCCACTCACACACGCACTCAAGTGAGACTTATATGAACTCGAACTGACGGGAACCTCAAACTTTCTAAAAACGAGATATACATCAAAGTGAGTTAGAATTTTGTTGAATACTTGATTCAGTATGAGCATCAAGAATGAATGACAGTTTTCCCCAGAGTAGAATTTCATGAAGCGAGACAGATGTCTCAGCGAAATACAAAATTTTCTAGGAGTCAGTGAGATTCTAGTGGTACGCACCTCTACTGAAGAGAGAGATAGGTGAATAAAAAATAAGAGACAGGTGCACTGAAGCGAGAGAATCATCAAATTCAAGTGATAAAATATCTATTCCGAGACAAAACTGCCTAAATTGTTAAAGTGCCGTGTGTACACAGCATGATAAATGCTGTACCCTTCTTAAACTTGAAGACATCGTCCACCTGACGTTGAGACGGAAGATACAGTCAGGTAGACAGGTCCTTCATGCATGCGGAATGTTTGTTTATATGATCATGCTTTCTATCAAAGAACTGTATGACCCCTGTAGGATTAGCGCTTCCTTTTGATTATAATAGTAATATATAATTCTCTCAGAGACACACAAGCGCACCCATCCCCCACATACAAACTCACATTATTTACCCACAAGTGATACGAGAAATGTGAGGAGGGTTTAGAGCAGCGGTGGGCAAACAGCAGAGCGAGGAGCTCTGCTGTCTGCAACCAGAAATACCTGAATATACACACGCACATCACAAACACACATCACAAACATACACACACATCACAAATATATACATACACGCACGCACACACACACACAACAATGTCTAGTCACCTTGATTACCTTAATGGAAATATGAGAAAAGCTCTTAATTTTAAAGGGATATAATTTGTTGTGGTGTACAAGTAGTGTAACTGATGCTCCACATAGTGGTTATTACCTGGCTTCTTCCATGCAAACTATCTTCTTACTAAATGACGTTCTTATCAGTATGATAATTAACAAGTCTAACATTATTAATTGCTGTGAAGAAAGTGAGTTGTTTCAACACTCCAGCGTCTGATGTCTCACCTACAACTTCAATAAAGCCAACGGAGTGGAAATTATTCTGTATTAACGAGGACCCTCGGGGCTGCTGGTGGAATGAATTTATGTAGATTATATACAGGACAAATGTCTCCTGAATATCAGTAGTGGATAATGAGACAACAATGTAAGGAGGTTACATATTAGGGTTTGATACATATTACTGCCTTTATTATGTGTACTGTCATAACTCTTTCCCTTATAAACGAAGGAAATAAAAATTTATTGGTGAAAAATGGTACTGTAGACAATGTGGATGACATAGAAAGTCTTACGTCTTCATCTACCAATAATTGTTGGACTATCTGTAAACATTACATGGAATCACAACGAACCTAAACTAAACTAACGTAATTTTATATAGTAAACAGAGTACCTCTTGTGTGTATCCCTGAATGCGTCAATTAATAAGCGTTTGTAAAGGGGAGTTTTGTTCTTCAGGAAACACGAAAATGTTTTATGACACGTGTCTTTGATGAATGAAGACGACCACTCCCTGACGTTTCGGTCATTTATCCTGTGTGTCCGGAGTCAATGACATGTGTTGCGAGAATATGAGAATCCTGCTTCATGGCCAGGCTGGGGGCAGGCCCTCTGGTGCCCTCATGTCTTCACGCTGACACACACACACACACACACATACACACACACACACACACACACACACACACACACACACACACACACACACACACACACACACACACACACACACACACACACACACACACACACAAGACTGTTTAATACTATCCTTGCTTCGTAGCTTTTAATTATTTATTTTACGTTCCTCTTGTTTAACATTCAATCATTATTTTGCTTTCAGTCATGCCAGATAAAATCTTATTGAACTTAATTTTATTTTCTGAAAATACTGAATTCAGATATTAATACTATTCTGCATCTACAGTTATTTTTTACTTTTTTTCGAGACTTTATGCATCATTCACTTTATTATTTCTTTGTCCTTATACCCGCTTTCCAGTCTCACAGCCGCCATATTTGATATTTCAGGTAATGAGGCGGACACGGAGTCTCTGATGGAATGTGAGAAACAGCAAGTTAGCGACAGTGAGACTAAACTGGGAGCCAGGATGAGTACCAGCAACGTCAGGAAGATAACAGTGACAGCAGTGGCGACACAGCCCATGCCCAAGATTGAGCTCAGTTCCTCTACACGATCTCTCAACCGCAGCATCCAGCATTTGATGCAGGAAGACGCAGAGAACCGTCCAGAGCACAGGCCACCCACGCCCGCACGACCATCACTTCCCACACTCATGCCAGGGCGGTTATTGGACGTGTCATTCAGTGCGTCCATGAGCAGCGTCAAGAGTGAAGGACGCAACGTTCCTCCTGCACGTAAAGCAAACTTTTCTGCATTTCCTAGGTCGTCGTCGGAGCCAAGGTCACTAACATCGTCTCCCAGACCTGACGATGATGACAACGACGATGACGACGAACCTGAAGCAGACACTTCCACAGATCTTTTAGACTCGTCCACACGATCTGAGGGCTGGGATCACTTACGGGGAGCCAAGGGTAGAGGCCCCTCGTTCAGTACTTCCGAAGGACACGTGGTACCTCTACCTCCCATCAACCGCCCACGTTATAATGACATGGGGCTACGTGGGCGTGGTAATACTCGTGGGCGTAGTGGAGTCGCTGGGTGTGAGGAGAATGTGCTCAGCGTGGCAAAGAAGACATTAGAGCAACTGGAGACTGTGCTGGCGCCTAAAGAGACACCTGCATTTCCCCGCAGCATCCCTCGTACACGGGCCACACATCAAATACATTTAGAGACGTAGCACAAGCCTCGTCGCCAGCGCCACCAGCACCCCACACCAGCCTCCACAACACAAACCAGCAAATTGACACGGAAAAATTCTCGCAAACATCTTCCCATGAACGAGTGACGAGCCTCACCTGGAGTTGTAATGGGCGTCTCTGAGATATTGTACTTTATGAAGTTTTACGCTCATATTGTAGTGAATAAGATTAGTAACTACAGCAAATAATGATTACAGCTCCATTTTTTCAAACTTGCAGAGTGAGATTTTCAGAGAAAATTCTAAGAAAAAAGAAAGGAATTTTTTCATATTGGCTTGCTTTAGACAACTAAGTAAGATGCTCCCTCGAGCAACAGTGCTAGTGAACAAAGTGATCGCTTCTGCACAATATCTGGTGAACTGTGAAGGTACTCACTCCAGCACCAATATAGGTTAGCAGTGAACTAGGTGTTTAATCGAGTACTTGCAATGGTACGGACAACTCTTTTATATCGATTCTGTGGACATCATGAATTTTTTTCTAGGCCAAAAGTTGGATGGTAAGACAGGCTTTGTGGCCTGATTATTTTAGGTGGGTTTTAATGGAGTGTTTTTTTTGTCCTTCAAAGATATACATGCAAATATAAAGCTTCAGTGTAGTGTGTGATACGTCATATTAAATTCTTGGTTTAAATCATTATTCGTTTGACGTATACACTCACTGGCCACTTTATTAGGTACACCCTTCTTGTACTGGGTAGGGCTCCCCTTTGATCGCAGAACAAACTGAATTCTTTGTGGCATAAATTCAACAAGGTGCTGAAAATATTCCTTAAAAATCTTGGTCTATGTCGACAGGATAGCATCACGCTTATGTTGCAGATTTGTTGGCTGCACATTCATGCTGCAAAGCCTTCGTTTCATCACATCCCAAAAGTTTACTCCAGATTCTAGTTCTATTATCAGCATGTCGTATTAGAAATCGCGATTCGTCGGACAACGCGACGTTTCTCCATTCTTCAGCTTACCAGATTTGGTGATTCTTTGCTCACTGTAGCCTCGGTTTCTTGTTCTTTTCTGACAGGAGTGGAACCTGGTGTGGTCTTGTACTGCTGTAGGCCGTCCACTTTAAGGTTTGATGTGTTATGCATTCTGAACTGTTCTGGCCATTCTCTGACCTCTATCCTTCGTAAGGTATTTTCACCTACAGAACTACCGCTCACTGGATGTTTTGTGTTTTTTCACACCATTCTATGTAAACTCCAGAGACTATTGTGCATGAAAATCCTAAAAAAAATAAATAGTTTCTGAGATCATCAAACCCCCCCGTCTGGTACCAACAATCATTTCACAGTCAATCAATTGTCTCATTTCTTCCCTATTCTTATGTTTGGTGTACAGGTATACTTAATATAGTGGCCACTGAGTATATATATATATATATATATATATATATATATATATATATATATATATATATATATATATATATATATATATATATATATATATATAAGGAATTCGCAAGAGCAGGCGAAATATACACAAACACTGATCTCTGGCGGAAGGAGACTCGAACCTACGAACCTTGGAACAAGGTACGCAGTGCCTTACCATTCTCACCACACTGGACCAATACCATGCGTCTAGCGCAAGCTGGACGCCAAGGTATTGGTCCAGTGTGGTTAGAATGGTAAGGCACTGCGTACCTTGTTCCAAGGTTCGTAGGTTCGAGTCTCTTTCGGAGTCTCTTTCGGCCAGAGATCAGTGTTTATATATATATATTATATATATATATATATATATATATATATATATATATCATAAAAGTGCAAACCTGTGAATTATATCCAAATTTGGTGTGTGTATCTACTTAACATTTAATATTTTGGCAATCACCGTATTAACTGTTAACATTGTAATATATATTCTTGGTGTTAAGGTTAGGTTTAGTACATCTTTACACGAGCTTCTGCTGTGTTACTGTACATTCATGTTTCACTGATACTTGTCTGCCTGTCGGTCGTATATTCCCTTAATGAAGACGCCACAAACCTTGACGATGGACTTATGTGTCTGATTATTATACTCCTTAGAAACACTAATCCCAAGGGATTTGTTGCCTCCATTTGTACATTCAAAGATAATATATTTTCTGCGCTATATGGCAAATGGACACCATTTTGTATACTGACCTTCATATATGGCATAATTTATTAAAGAGAACTATGTGTTATTAATATAGCTTATCAACCAATACTGCAGTGTTAAATTATCTGTCGTGTTATTTTTTACAACACAGTGAGTCACGTGTACGTAACACGTTGACAATGTTTCACACTATCTGTGGGGAAAGTTGATGATTATATTGTTCCTTTAAGACCTAAGTTATTAAGGGGGAACTTTAGGAAACGACTTGTCGGTCATTAGTCTTGATGTAAAGTCACAGGGTATATTGAAAGAGATGTATATCTTTTAGCATATATGTATATAATGTACTTTACTCTGTATTTTAGGGATTAAAGTATTCTTGCTCTTAGTACGTAGGTAAATTCTATTCATAATAACCCATGTAAACTAGATGAAAGTTAAACCAACAAACCAACCTGTGTGAACTATAGTGCTCAACACTATACTGAACCTTTATATATCCCGTAGTTACAAAGGTCTTCACCACATCCCGTTTAAGTAACGTTTTCGAGAAATTTCCTATACAATGCTTCATATTATAAGTTCTAATGGATTCTAGTCTTGCCAGAGGAAGTCAAGATCGACGATCTTAGGCTGTCGAGTCTCACAATTCTTAGTCTACACCTTAAAAGTTTTCCTCCAAGTAACATACAGTAATGTGTCTAAAACGATGTGCTATTTTAGTATCAGCTTCAACATTCTTAAATAAGTTTATGGCTTAGTGCACTAAGAGGCGCATATTTACTACTATTATTTATTTATTTAATTGTTGATAATTTATCCTAGACCGTGACTTAACCACCATATGCTAAGGTGAAGTGAAGACATTAATATTTACGTCTGGTAAAAATAAAAATCTTTAGAATTAGATCGTAACACCAAAATGAAAGATTCTGATTACCAGTCTTTGGCATTAAGACGTATACAGTCACTACGTGTTACTTAAGGGATTATTTCTTTATGAGGAAAAGAAAGGTGACTTCCCACTTGTAGGTCAGCAACCTGTCTAGGTCTTCTTACCTCACCGAGGCTACAAGGTGATACGTAGCTTAGTGTTAGATAGTGTTTGCTTCAAAACCATAAGGAGAAGGGTTTGATTTCTGGCTGGGAAAATTTTCTTGCACCTGCTACCCTTGTTCACCTGGCAACTGTAAAGTGAACTGTGCAAAAAATATCTATAAAATATATGAGTTTTTCCCGTAAAGTAGCCTCGTGTACCACAACTCTGCAGTTCTAATCGTTGATAATGCGTATCACGTAGCAATTCTTTTACACAATTTTTTACTTGAGCTTGAGATGACAGACTATGATAGCCTAGTTGTGTGAAGACCAATCGGGCCTTATAAACTCTAATACTGATCTGGGTTTGGCTAATCAACGGAGCCTAATAACATTGTATAGAACATAGTTTAGCAAGTTTAACTCTCAGATTGGTCAAACTCTTTTCTAGTATTCAAGTAAACAGTACCTACCTTATGGGCCTTGAAGCATAATACATTAAAATAATTTTAATGTTACACGTGAGGCCTTGGAATTTTGTAATAAATGCTGAACTTAGTCAATTTTTAGGTGTTTTGCTGGTCATAATCGCGTCTGTCTGAAGTGTTCTTATATACCATTAATATTTGAATTTGTAGCAAAAAATAAATCCATTTGTATGGATAATACAGTTCCCTGAACAGCTGGACGGTTCAGGGAATGACTGATGACTCGGATAATCAATTATATTGGTAGACTTGTGTGATACAAAGAAAATTAGAGTAAGGGCATCTCCTTATTAAGTCAGTTTTCTTAATCAATGGGATCTTAATCAAATCAGTAAGACTAATGAAGACTTGACATAGCTCTCCTTGAGCAATATGATACTGTCCTAATGAAGCTTCGCTCTGCTCTGTCTTTGTGTTATTCATTTTTGGGGCCACTCTACCTTCACTCTACCTTCGTAGTTAATCATTAATGTTAACCTGTATAGCGTTCTTAAGTGCACGTCATGGCTAATGAGTGGAGTGCTGAAATGCTTCATATAAAACAGTTTGTAATAATTTATGATATAGTAATATCAAACTCTCTTAATCCATATTTAAATTTCCTAGCAGCAAGAATCTCAAAGGACAATCATTTGCCATGACTCACTGTGGCCTCTGAAAATTAATCCTAGCTTTGATTTAGGCGAATCTTGAGTGATGATGATTTGTAAATTACCAGTTATAGAAAGTTTAGTTTGTCTTATGAGACCTTCAGTTGAGAGTTAAGCTTAGATAACATGACAACTTGGCCTAAGCTTAATTAATTAATATCATGCTACTTCAGTTACCATCTGGCTAACGACGACTGATATGTAGTGGGAAAATTATTGAGCAAATCGCAGCTAACTTGTTGCCAGGTAACTTGTTGCCAGGTAACTTGTTGCCAAGTAACTTGTTGCCAAGTAACTTGTTGCCAAGTAACTTGTTGCCAAGAAACTTGTTGCCAAGTAACTTGTTGCCAGGTAACTTGTTGCCAGGTAACTTGTTGCCAGGTAACTTGTTGCCAGGTAACTTAATTCAGGTCATAAACTGACAGGTCATAAACCTGTCACCATTTAGCCAAATCGCCTTTGTTAAGTTGTTCTTATATAAGTCAGCCTAAAAGAGGGTGAAGGGTTAGGTGACTTAGATCCTCAGTCACACTGATTTTATGTCAGAGAACGTGATAGGTGAGAAACCTTGTGGTTTCCCACAGGTGTCTTACTGTCAGATAGTACGGCTTTAATTGTTTTGATCTGGATGTTTAACCAAATATAGTCTCTACTATTTCTCACTGTGTCTTAATGAAACTGACTCTGTCTCTCCTTACCAAACTCGATATAACTCAAAGAAGCTTTAAGCTAGTCCCGCAGCTGCAACAGGTCAAGCAAGGAGCGTAGGAAGCTCGTCTTGTTCCAGGAGCGATATCCGCAGCACTGGTCTATAATTACCATGTGTGTCCTACTGTGTTTGGATGTTTAATAAAAGTTGTCTGTTCACCATGGTCCACTTTCAATAACCCCTTTTTTTGTATATTTTAATGAAAATAACCTAAGGGGTAAGACCGGAATTACGCAAATGCTAACTTTACAGCTTAAGGTCTCATGGGATGAGAAAAATTAAAAAAAAAATGCGTAACGTTTCTTGAGTCATAAATAAAGTTTTTTTTTACTGTGAAACATAATATTTTATTCCCCAACAGACACACACACACACACACACACACTATCGACAAGTACCTTTGATAACCAGTAACTAACACAATAGACCAAGTAACGAGTAATGACATTATCATCTCAAAGAAATTTAGTTAATATTTACCCTTCCTGTGTTATTTAATACCCGTTGTATTATAACCATTCGCTTATATATTGAAATATAGTCACTATAATTTAAAAAATATATAGAAAAAGTATCGGTATCGGGCTAAAATTAGGTACTGAGATCGGCAAAATTTTGGTATTGTTCCACCACTGTTGTTTATCACACTTCAGATTAACTCTTAACGATCATCAAGAAACTGCAGCAATGTAGATCCTTTTTACATTTTTCTGTCTTTACATCATTTCTAATAACACTGTTTAAATGTTCACTGACATTCATCGCATCACCGCCGCCTTCCCTGTTCATTCTATCAGTGCTGAAAAATGTATGTCTGTATGTGGGACTCAACAGCATCTATGTGAACCATCTCTGAGCCAGAGAGATGCACCCAATCTTTAACATACCTACTATGTTTCCCATGGAAATGCTCGCACTTGTCATTGAATGGTATTACAAGTTGTTTACAGTACTTGTCTAGCCAATAAGTAACACCAGTTACCCCAGACATTCAGTCAGTTCCACTCCTCTTCAAGGCACACTACTACATATGATCTGCACCTCTACGTCTGCCATAATTAATTAGTTGTAATAAATATTTGTTGGCAGTATGCCATTTGGAGCCACGTATCAAATGCATAAGAACAAATCACAAATGTCAACTTAGAGATGAACAACAGGGAAGTTCTTTATAAAATGAAGAGGTAATCTACTTAGATGGAAGATGCAACGTAGATAATACCCTTAAGCCAGCTGCAGCCTCCCAACACTCTGTCATCACAAGTGGGGGAAGAGGAACGTTAGGTTCGTCTTTGAAATACGAGTGTGAAATACGGTTATGAAACACGGCTTTGAAATACGGGTCTGGAGTGCAATGGAGCGCGGCGGATGAGGCGGACCGTGTA